ACCACAAAACTCCGCCCTAATGGTGCCAAGCCAGTTGAATCAAAAATTAAATTATTGAAGCTTTCCTTTAAACCATTTGATTCAAACAGCGCTTTCAGAGAGATTTATCTGGGTGTGCAGAAAGGAAAGCCAACAAGTGTGCGGGCTTCTCGTAAGAGCTTAATGTACTGCGACTGCTTGTTTAGAAATCTGAAGATTTTTGCTTTGTGCGATATTTTGCTCTCTCTGGTCAGGTGAGACAAAACTCTATGGCGCAACCCTTGTACGCTCATGGAGCTAGTTAAACACAAGGTGAGATGCCTCGTGAGTGAAACATGCTGTTGAAGTGTGTGGTAGCAACACAGATAGATGCAAATATGTATTTGGCAATGATTACACCCTATACCGAACACATTTTGATTCCATAGTCGCTGACCTTCTTGTCAAAGTACTTTGTATGATGCCAAAGTATTCCTTTTACATAAAGTTGGTTGCTGCACCTCTCGTTGGATTCAGCCTCATCTGAAAGATAGAATGGCTTCTTTTCCAAGTAAAGTATTTGTAAGCGGAAAAAGTCTCAAGGTTTCTTTACCATGGCAGACCAAGAATTTTGAACGAGGCCCCATGCCATTCGGGAACCATACCTTAATAAATTTGAAATTAATGGCCGCCAATTCAAAAATGTTCTAGATTGCAACAAATGTTTGGATAAGAAGTAAGTTTTCTAAGTCCTCTTGCTCCCAAATAATATGTTTCTAATAGCGTGTATAAGAAACGAGACCCTAAAAAATTGAAAGGCAAAAAAAGCAATCCCTAAAATTATACGAATGTACGATAGAGCCAAGCAAGCTCTTCAAAATGACACCAGAGAACGCAAAAATCGTGATCCGTAAACTTTGAAGCTAGATCTAGAACATCTAAGCGTCCTAAGGGTCGAATCTCCTGAACAAAAATCATACATAACTCTTACGCATTATAAGCACTTACTCGATGTTTTTATGGCTGATAATTTCAACAAAAAAAACGAATTGCCAAAATCAAATTGCTCACTTCATACTTATGGTGACTGTAGTATCCGGGTTTTGAAGAAAATGGTAAACGTGGAGAAAATGGAACATGCGGCACTGGATCTCTTTCGTTGACGACCCGAAATGCGTAGTCGATCTGCGAAAAAATAATGACCAAAATTTCAGACCTCACGACAGTTTGTTAAGATTTCTCTTCTTAGTTTCTAGATTTTTCTATACTATCTCACGTTGAGCCATATTTGAAAGTTTCTAGATTTTTCTAAATTATCTCACGTTGAGCCATATTTGAACGATATGATACAAACTTCACACAAACTTGAAAATGTACAAGTTTCAAAAAAACTGGAGAGAATTTCAAAAAGTCTGCGTAGAGTTTCAGAGACTTGAAAACTCATGCTAATTGTGCTTTACTCCACCATCAGGCACAGTGGGTAAATAAGCACGAAAAAAAAATGAATACGAAAACGTAGTGGGAGAAGTGAATACTGGCATACGGAAAAAGAATAGGAACAAAAAAACTTATATAAAGTAGAGGTGGTAGTTTTTAGTATACTGACATAGTGTACTGACAGAGCAAGGCAGAGCGGGTATTCGAGCATGCTGTGTAAATGATTATGTAAATTTCTACCTTTTTATTGAAGTCTTCAGCATATGCAGCATTGCCTGTTCTTGGCTCTCCGAATGTTACCAGCTTTATCCGCTCATTTATCCGCTCAGATATCTTGTTATAAGTTTTGGCGATGTGATACGCTGCCAGAGACGCCATGGCACCTCCGAGCGAATGGACGGTCACCTAAAGTTTCTGGTCACATGAAAACGATCTTTTTGCATTCAATACATACCCATATTTCGTACTTAGGGTGTCGTTCGATCTGGTTCTTGAAGGCAGTTCTAGACCTTTTACGCCTTTTGCGTCATTTCCCCACACATTTGAGAAAGCATTGTAGAAGTACCAAGACACTTCACCTGACCCCATGGGGACCTTAAGCAACAGCTGATCTACGCACCAATTATTTCACACAAATTACCACAGCAGCGCTGGTGGCAACTTCGTTCTTGAGTTGACTTAGATAATTGGTGCCTCTGTAATGATAACTGTTGAGCTGCAGGGAATTCCAACCTGAGTGTCACGTTCGGCGCAGCTCGGGTTGCCGCTCCCATCGTGGCATCCAGACTGGCATCCCTGAAAAACATTTCCAAGTTCCTTTACTTAGCACGTGAACGAAGGCAGCGTTTTGGAAGATACAATGCTTTGCAATCTTAACATAACATGGTATTAGTCCCCCAACTAGGGACACTGATCCGAAGCAATTTCTTTATTTCAAATAGTCTTGCAAGATTTGCACGTCTGCTCGCTGTTCTACTTGGTGGGTATTCCCTAGCTCTAGCATTCTGTAAAGTTCTCTATTTTGAAAAGGATTACACAAGAAGTTCACAAGCGTTATGAGTGAATTCATTCATCGGTCTGTTTGGAGACGTGTGGACATTTTAGACGTGATTTATATTGTAAGCTGCCGGAAGCAAATCAAACGTTTTGTTTAGAAGCAGCGTTGATCAAATCTAGACTTATGCGGATCTCACGTTGATAGTAATTTTAGGGCTTTAATCAAGACACTGCGACTAGACACTGAGCGGCAGCTCAGATTCTGCGCTTGCGGCTGAGATTTTCATCTTCAAAGCAGACCTCAGTGTCTCAGTAACGGACAAATGCTGCAAATGTTCTTTAGCACAGGCTGTCTTGACTAGCACGAAAGTGATGGCGAACGAGGTGTTTGCAGGAAAGCTTATGCGAAACCAAAGCGGATCCGAAATCATGATTAATTATTTTGTCGTAATGTGCTATCAGGTCGACCTTGTCGATAATTTACAACGGCCTCCCCTCAAACACTACGCAGGAAGTGTATATGTGCTGCGAGGTTGCTCGATAATTGGCCCACGAATCTGGTCAATACCAGGTAGTTCTGTTCAAACCCATGAGCCCAGAAAAGTGATTATGAGCATAATATTGGTCGCACTACCCATATCCAACATGTGCTTCTTTTCTCGTCCTTTTCAGCATCACTCCGAATAGACCACCAGGTGTCATATTGTGACGTAAGGCAGTGATTTGAAATGTTGGTAACAGCTTCAGTGCGTGCACGTTGAAGTTTTAAAGCGCTCAAGCAGAGCAATGATCATTATGAGAGCGTATTATAATTTAAGCTTGCCGCTTACGATAGTCACCTTCACTTTTGAATTATTTGAACGCTAAAACCATACTGGAGGGCTTTGGCCGGCCGCAGTCATACCCCTCCAAAAAACTGACAGAAAGACCGCAACTAGCAGAGCTGGATTCAATAGCAATGTGAGTTATAACGCATCCGTCCGCACAAGCATATCCTCCTATATATCGTATGCAACATCGAACACGAGCCGCTTCCACTGAGATGCTTGGCTCATCTCCTGCTGACGACATTACAGTCTTCTTTTGTGTTCACTGAAGTGGGCGGATAGCTTAATTCCCCGAAGATAGACGCTGATATAAGCGTTGCACATGTTAGCTTCAGAGCGAAGCTTTCGGTTCGTTATCTAGCCAAAAATTATTGTAAATACGACTGCTGTAAACTGAAGGTAGAGCTGACCTGAAACTAAGAACTATCGCCGACTGTTCGGTTAGTGTGGCTAGGAATCCATAGCAGTCATTCTCAAAAACATCGCATTGAACAAGATTATGGTCAAAGAACTGAAAAAAAATCTCGTTACGAATATTCTGGTGTTTCAAAATGTAATATAGAAGTTTTGAGGATAATTTTATTATTCAGTTATGACAAACGTACTAGCGTTACAACCTTTCAAATTTCATCTACAAACGCAGAATCATTTTGCTTCCTGCATGTATTGCAAGCACTATGCACCACTAATTTTATGAATATTTACCTCACTGCTGGGCAAAAATACCTCATATCATCTGATAAGTTGTTGAACTTTAAATTAGAAAGAAAAACTTGGAGTGACCATTTGAGCTTAGAAGTATGACACTGAAGTCAGTCATGAATGCTGAATAAAGCCGCAATCGTTACCTACCGTACACTCTTCTGAAAAACTTGTAGGTCCAACTGAATGCACTATTTGGTAACTGCAGGTGGTGCAGCAACGATTTAATGGTGCCTTGAGTATGGTCTTTATGGCAGAGAAGGTTCCAGGATCGAATCTTTTCACCGCCAGCTTTTTGTTGAGATGGCAGTTTTCATCTGAGTTCATCAACATAAATCTAACTTCAAGCGGCCATTACTAAAGCCCACATGCACGTACATCCCCGTGGAAAGGGGAGGGGATCTGAGAGGGGACGCCCTAAGGCATCTCTCCATTTACTAACAAGAAAAAGCGTACTTTTCTTTCGAGCAATTAACGCACGCGATAAAGATCTGCTTTAACATTTTACGCAACGTGCACAAGCAAAGATGTTTGAATTTTAAGCAGAACTTTCTGTACTTGCAAATAATTATCATGCTCAGCTCGTGCTGTCATGTCCTCTTTCGAAGAAAAGAGCAGATATAATAAAAAGCGAATTACCAAGTTCCCATGAGTTCCATTATAGCCTTTGAAGCGATTGAGTATGCAGCCCCTTGGCTCATCCGAATAGGCGGCGGCAGCCAGAGGGAACATTTGATTCCTAACGAAGTTGTAGTCAAATAATCTGACAGCATTGAGTGAAGCCGCAAGGCAAAGTGTAACGACTAGTGTGAATGCCCTGCAGAAACATTAAGCTCATCTTCTATGTAGCTCTACGTCCCTTACTTACATATTGATCGTTTTGTTCGCCAAGAGGCAACGGTATCACGGATACTAAGATCCAAGCCTGTTGCTGAAAAAATGAGAAAATTAGACGGATTAGTGTCGTCTCTGCCATTCTGCAATTCGATATATTTCTTAGAAATGAAAAGAAAGAGAGAAATAGTATCTGGCTGCGCAGTGGACCGATTATGATTGTTTCCGTCACGCAACGGTATCGTGATGTCCTCAGGATATGTGACAAAGTTGCAATTGTTACTCGTTTTAGAAAAGCACACTCATACTGATTTGAGTAAAGCGAAGGTCAGCGAGAATTGATTGAAAATGGTTACAAAAAAGTTTTCGGTTTAAGACTAGCTATAGCTTGCCTGTGAAATTCTAAAATGAGCACAGTTACTCGCACCACTTTCTAAACTGAATCCATACTGCTAAAATAAGGGTATTGTTTTTGTAGGAGAGGAGTAGGGATATTTGGAAGTCAAATGCACAGCATGTTTTGTAGATATTTCTTACATACTCTGCGCTGTAATAAATACGCTGCATTAATGCCCTTAATTTTTAGTGGTCGTCGCTCTCCTCAGCGTTCTTTTTTTCTGGCTGTCGGAACAAATTGTGATTTAGCAGCTTAACTGCTGCAAGGTAGGTCAATGGCAATTTTTTAGTATGGTTTGTTAGGTCTCAGTTTGATGCGTGATCCCATTATAGATACGTCAAATTTCCGACAGCCCTTTTTGATTTTAAAATTATTCTGGTATTTGAGCAGACGACAACCAGTGATTGCTGATGAATATATTAGGTTGTGTAATAAATTCTGCCCCATTTTTTCTTTCGATTTTTTTCTCAATAATTCCCGCGATGTTCGGTAAATGGTTTATATGCATTTGAAAGCTTTAAGCCTTTTTTTACTAAACTTTCAATTCGGGTTTCTACATCAGATGACATGAAAAAGTTCTACAGCGTCAAATTTGGAATATCAAACAGGGAAAAAGTTCACTTTCGACAACTACGTTACGTCGCCTTCCTAATTAGTCAGATTGCCTACGAATAAGCTTGAAGAATTTGCTACACGTGAGCAAAGAATGCTCTAACTTCTATTGCGCTTCAGGAGTGCTGAAACTTTTCAAAAATCATTTCTGTAAACTTTAGAAAAAATTCTTCTTTCTAACGCCTTTTTTAACGTTGGTGTTGGGCATCATCTGAAAGCATCCTGAGGAAGACGGTAGGCGGATCATCTAAAAAAGACAGAAGGGATAGTTTGTGGCTTCAAAATTACCGAATTCGTAGGTTAAATACTCAAAATGCTAATTTTCGGAGCTACACAGCTTGGGTACGCGAGACGGCGAACATCGCCGTAACGAAGTCTTGCCTTGCCGACTTCTAAAAAATGTCAGGGCTACTTATATGGAAGTATTGAAGCCTTGGGGATGATCAGCATGCTCGATTACCCCCCTGTGCCAACTCCCAGCCCCCTAGCTCAAACTTTGCAAAAAATCGATAAAATCGATAAAAGTAATCGATAATCCCGAAAACCAATATTGTATTCGGAATCCCCATGCTCGATTACCCCCCTGTGCGAACTCCCAGCCCCGTAGCTCAAACTTTGCAAAAAAATCGATAAAATCGATAAAAGTAATCGATAATCCTGAAAACCAATATTGTATTCGGAATCCCCATGCTCGATTACCCCCCTGCGCCAACTCCCAGCCCCGTAGGTGAACTCAGCAAAAAAAATCGATAAAAATCGATAAAATCGATATCGATCGATGACGAAAAGTAGCCTATGACACCCGCCGGGGCCCGTAGTGTATGTGTGCCAAGTTTGGTCCGGATCGGTTCAGAAATGGAATTTTCTATTCGGAACATACGTACAGACAGACATACAGACAGACAGACAGACAGACAGACAGACAGACAGACAGACAGACAAACAGACATTCAGCTTTATATATAAGATGGAACATATAAAAAGGCTCTTCGCAGAAAGGGCACTCATTACCTTTCTATTTCCTATTTCGCTTCGTTAGCGATAAAATCACTTGTTTCAGAAATTGGAACAGGTACTTGCGCAATTTGTGCATCTTGAACGGATATGCTGCAGATCCTTGTGATTGGTGCCTTGTGCTCCATGGCTCTAGGAGCGGGACCGCCCCAAAAGTATCGCATCGCCAAAGATGGCATGCGATTTCAGCACTGAGTGGGTCGAGAGTAACGATAGCTCTGCCAGCCACTAGCTGCCAGCTGCTAGCGCGCGTAGAACAACCCACCCTCACCTGTACAGTAAGTTTCGAATTTCGACCCGTTTAGGCGAAAACTCAATTGGCGAGCGTCCGCCTCGCAATGGTTCTCGCCGTTTCGCAACTACAGTATATCGTATCGTGCAGCTAATTCAAGTCTACTACGTATCTTCATTCTCCATAGTCTTCGCTTGGCAAAATGCCGGCGCTATGCGCTCCGCGATGCGCACGCGCTGCCCCACGTAGAATATTTCGCCTAAACCGGGATGAAATCGACTGTACATGAAATTGTCTTTTTATTGAAGTTCGTTTTCTACATCTAGCAGAAGCCTTAACATAAAGCAAAAAAAATAAATAAAAAACAATAAAATAAAAAAAGAACAACGCTTCGGACATTTAGTGCTACAAAATGTAATGCGTGAGCTCGTCCACTGCTAGGACGGTGATGCCTGTATACCGTTTATTGACATACGGGGACTCCGGGTGTCACTACTGCCAGCTTTCGTTATTCTTGATATATATTCTTCAGCAATCCCTGGTTGTCGTCTGCCCGAATACCATACTGATTTCAAAATCAGAAAGGGCTATCAGAAAGTTGACTTATCTATAATGCGACCACGCATCAAATTGAGACCTAACAAACCATGCTAAGGAATGGCTGTTGACCTTGCAGCAATTAAGCTGCTAAGTCACAATTTGTTCAGACAGCTATAGAAAAAGAATGCTAAAAAAAGCGACTACAAAAAAATTATGCGCATTAATACTGTGCAATTAATACAGCGCAGAGTATATAGCTAGTTTTAACCAAAAACTTTTTTGTAACATTTTCAATCAATTCTCGCTGACCTTCGGTTTTCTGAAATCAGTATGAGTGTGCTTTCCTGTTACGAATAACGATTTCAATTTTGTCACATACCCTGAGGGCATTACGATACCGTTGTGTGACGGAAACGAACATTATCGGTTTACTGCGCAGCCAGATACTATTTCTCTCTTTCTTTTTATTGAAAAATATACTGAATTGCAGAGTGGCAGAGACGACACTAATCCGTCTAATTTTCTCATTTTTTTCAGCAGTGCACAGGCTTGGATCTTAGTATCCGTGATACCGTTGCCTTTTGGCGGACAAAACGATTCGATTAATATGTAAGTAAGGAGGCGTAGAGCTACATAGAGGATGAGCTGAATGTTTCTGCAGGTTCAAACTAGTCGCTCTACTTTGCCTTGCAGCTTCACTCGAAGCTGCTACATTTGACTACAACTTCGCTCGGAACAAAATGTTCCCTCTGGCTGCCGCTGCCTACTCGGATGCCCCATTTGAATGCGCATTGAATGTCTTCGACGAATTGATATCGGTAAAGTCGTTTCTTAGATAATATCTAATTTTTCCAGAAAGTGATATATCAACGGCACCTGAGAATTAATGTTTCTTTGCGGGTTCGAATAAGGGATCTAGGTGGTCATTAGTATCAACAAGCTGGCTTATCCTGCTCCGCCCGGCCCTGTCAAAATACTATGAAAAAATCCCATTCCTATCCTTGCACAACCTTTCCCTAGCCCACTTCTACATGCCAATCCCCTATTCCTGTTGTGTTAGTAATCAGCATGCTCACTTATCCCCTGTGCCAGCTTCTAGTCCCGTAGCTCAATATTTGCAAAAAATCAACATAATTGATAGAAGTAACGATAATTTTGAAGACTAATGCTGTATTCGTAATCAGTATGCTCGATTACCACCCTGTGCCAACTCCCAGCCAGCCCCGTACCTCAAACTTTGCAAAAAAAATCGATAAGATCGATCAAAGAAACGGGTAATTTTAAAAACTATTATTGTCCTCGTGATCAGCATGCTCGATTACTCTCTTGTGCCAACTCCAGCCCCGCAGATCAAACTTTAAAAGATCGGCAAAATCGATATCGATCGATAACGAAGAGCAACCTACGACACTTGCCCCTCTCCAAAGTGTATGTGTGCCAAGTCGGTCCGGACGGTTCAGAAATAGAACTAATTCGGAGCATTCGTTTACACGTACATACATACGATAGAAAGACAGACAAACTTGGCTTTTGGCTTGATATATAAGATGATGAAGAGCGCTTGCAACATAGGCCAATAAAGCAAAATATAATATTATAATAACTCTGCGATTGTCAGTAAAAGTTTAAATGGTTGTGGCATCTATGCCATAATTTGATAATGCCGTAATTTCATTTGCTATAATTTTTTCAAAAAGGTGACTAGAAAATGCATGTATTTACCTGTTCAAAATTCATCTGTCACACTTTGAAATGGTACGAAAGATGTCATGACAACAAATTCTTTTAGGACTTTTGGATGCATGATGAAGAATGCGACAATCGTGGCAATCACTGCTTTGTATTCGCAGGCGCACTAAGCAAAAGCAAGGCCATAGTTATAAGTTTCAGGTACACTCTGCCTTGAGTTCATAACCTTTTTTAATGACAATTCTGAGAGCCCTAACCAGGTATCCAAACAAGGAGACATTTTCATAACTAAACTAAAACAATACATTATCATCTTCAGCGAAAATAAATTTAGCAGATATCAGCTTGAGTCTATGACGTCTTTCAGAAAGATCGATGTATCGATATAGAAGCATAAGCCCTGTGGTCTTGTATGAAGCTTTTCAAATTAGAATCTTGTTTCAAGAGTGCTAGAGCTACAGAAGTACGTCAGACGACTGCAGGCAAAGGCTGATAGATAATGCAAAACTATTCAAATATTGTAGAAACTGTTTTGAATCAATCTTGCTTTTTCCTAGCTAAGCGACTCTTGCTATGTCATGTCGAAATTGAAGAACTTTGATTTCTAAATGCTCACTTTGTTCAGATGGAGGGGCTGAACGAGATAGAGTATGTTCTCAATTGTTATTATAGGGGCACAGATAGTTCCAGTCAGCTGTGGCAAGAACTGGTCAACAAGGGATATATGGTACATTGTGCAAAACGATTAGGTGCTTCGATCAACTGTGTTGCTTTAGAATGCGTGGCCCTTCGGAAAGGAAATAGTGTCTTCATACTTTTTCTTTGCTTTCATGAGTCTATGGAATGGCCATTTGGATCACCACTTCGAAATCATGCACAAAAAATACCCTGACTATGAAATATGGGTACGTACTGGATGCGCAAGAATTGTGGTCGTGTGACCAAGAAAATTTAGGAGACCGGCCGTTCGCTTGGAGGTGCCATGGCGTCTTTGGCAGCACACTGGATCAAGAACGCGCACCAAATCCCAGGAAACAAGATAAAGTTGGTGACATTCGGACAGCCTAGAACGGGCGATGATGAGTACAGCAAACAGTTTAATGCAGATGTAGGTTATTACAATATCATATTTACATCAGTTGCTCTTAACTAATGACATAAGCATGAGTTCTGCTGAAGGCGGTTTTTGACTGCATGAAAATCGATGCAAAGAAGTGGAGATTTTTTTTTGGAGTTTTTTGAAAGTTCTTTGCTTTTCTTTGTTTTTCTCTTTTGCATTCTAAGCTTCTCCTTCCAGATTCTGTGACATTTGACATGTTTGAATGGTAAGATATCATATTGCTCAGCCTAACCGTTCCTTTCACAGCTGGAATACGCATTCCGCGTTGTCAACGACAGAGACATGGTGCCACATATTCCATTTGACAGTTTCTACCACCATCATAAGTACGAGGTGAGCAATTTGAGATGCAGTGTTCCATGAGTCTCTCCTCTACAATCTGTGTTTTTCTACGCAACCATGGAGAAAATTTTTTCTCAAAGGCATAGTACAACAGGACTTCCACTTAGGCACTAGAGCTTGATAGCACATAGGACTTCACGTCAGTAAGAGCATATGACATTTAGAACAAATGAACATGAGGACTCAATACCTCCCATTCGTTGTAAATCTGGATTTTCAAACAGATGGTTACTAATTGCAAACCTATTAAGGTATGGTTCCCGGATGGCATGGAGCCTAATTCAAAGTACGCAATTTGTCTGTGTAAGGATTTTTTTGCTTACTTTCAAGCACTTTACTTATTGTGAAAACAAAGACATTTTATCTTACAGATGGCTGAATCCGATAAGAAATGCAGCAACTCACTGAAACTTCCCATAAGCGCATGGATAGATCATAGACACTACTTCGGAAAACTTGTCAGCGATTGGGGAAAAAAGGGATGTCCTGTGTGATCATCACCAAATAAATTTCCGCATTTATCTGTGTTTCTACTACAATTCACTGACATGTCTTGTGCGTGCATCGACAGTCTCTAAAAATGCAGTGTCCGGGCAAATTTCAGACGGAATTTTTCTTCGCTTAACTAGGCTTATCCTTTCTGCTGATTCCAAAAATGCAACGTGCAGACTACGAAAACGTCGAAAACGGGGTGTTTCAAAGGTCCCACTTTTGAATTTGGGCGCGCCGCCGAGGTCAAGACGCAGAGTCTTGGAGAAATCCTACATCTTGATTGTGTGCAATATGCTCGCTCAAGCTCAGATTTATCACGCTGGGAGAGATCCTCCGAGTGGCGCAACTCTTTCAGCTTCCGCTTCCGGAGCATTTTTCTCGCTTCCGGTTTCACAGAATGTGCCCGCGATTGGACTGGGTGATATGACAGGGTGGCTACAATACCGCTCATAATTCGTCAAAAAAGTCGCCACAGTGCGCCGGAGTGCGGCAGAGTGCGTCACACTCCGCCGCAGTGCGCCGGAATGATCGTCAATTTAGCCATATCTCGCTTCAAAATGGACGAATTCTGAATCCGAGGACACCCAGCCCCGTAGCTCAAACTTTGCAAAAAATCGAAAAAATCGATAAAAGTAATCGATAATCCTGGAAACAATGTTGTATTCGGAATCCCCTTGCTCATTAGACCCTATGCAACCTCCCAGCCCGTAGGTGAACTCTGCAAAAAAATCGATAAAAATCGATAAAATCGATATCGATCGATGACGAAAAGAAGCCTATGACACCCGCGGGGCCCGAAGTGTATATGTGCCAAGTTTGGTCCGGATCGGTTCAGAAATGGAATGTTCTAATCGGAGCATACTAACAGACAAACAGTCGTTTAGCTTCATATATGAGATGATGCGTCTCGCCGAGCTGAATCGAAAGGTGTCCTCGGATTCAGAATTCGTCCATTCTAAAGCGAGATATGGCTAAATTGACGATCATTCGCACTGCGGCGGAGTGTGGCGCACTCTGCCGCACTCCGGCGCACTCTGCCACACTTCGGCGCACTGTGGCGGAGTGTGGCGGAGTGCGCCACAGTCCGGCGACTTTTTTGACGAATTATGAGCGGTATTGTATTCACTTTACCTGGCCCAAGGAACCATGTGTTCTTAAGCAACGGCTAATCTACGCACTATTTCATGCAAATTACCATAACATTTCTCTTGAACACTTCTTGCAGCAGTTGACTTCCACCATTTGTGCCTCTGTAATAATAAGTGATCAGCTGCAAGGGATTACATACAGGGGATGCCAATCTAGGTGACACGGTCGGCGCGGCTCGGGCTGCCGCACCCACTGTGGCACCCAAATTGGCATTCCCTGTAAAAAGATTCTCAGTTTCTTTTATTTGGCACGTAAACGAAGGCAGCATTTTGGAAGATACAAAGCTTTTGCAATCTTAACATAATATGACAGTTAATCTTCCAATTAAGGAGAGCAAGTTAATCTTCCAATTAAGGAGAGCACTATTCAAAGCAATTTCTCTAACTTCAAACAGTCTTGCACTATCTCTTACACATCTGCTCGCACTTGTTCCGCGTACTGGGTATTCCCATAGCTTTAGCATTCTATAACAAAAGTTCTCTTTTTCGAAAAGGATCACACAAGAAATTTACAAGGGTTGTACCTGAATTCAAGTCGATCTATCTGGAAACGTTTTGGACATTTTAGACATGATTGTATTGTAAGCTGCCAGAAGCAGATCAAATTTGTTCAAAAGCGACGTTCAATCAAATCTGGGTTTATAGGGATCTCACGTTGATACTAATTTTAGGGCCCTAAACAAAATACTGCGCAAGACCTTAAGCCACAGTTGAGATTTTGCAATCACGGCTGAGATTTTCATCTCCAAAGCAGACCTCGGTATCGTAGTGACGGATGACTTGTTTCATGCTCGCGTGGTCTCATACCACGACTCAGCAGTTTCACGTGGGTCCTCGCGCAAAAGCATGCAAGCATGATGCAATTTGTCCGCTGATACTGGGAGTCCTGCTTGGACGCGAATTTATCAGCTCTGATTGGATCACTAACGTTGCCGCTTGGGCACTGTCTTAGCTAAGAACCCGATGCGCGTAATATCTCCATCTGCCCTTATTTGCCTGGACGCTGTTTATAGGTGCTTACACGCGACCCGAATTTGGCCCCGACCGAAAGTGCTTCAAATGTTCTTCAGCACAGGCTGTCTTGACTAGCACGACAGCGATGGCAAACGAGGTGTTTGCAGGACAGCTTATGCGAAACCAGAGCGAATCCGAAATCATGTTCAACTATCCTGTTTAAGGCGTTATCAGGCTGGCCTTGTCGATAGTTTACAAAGGCTTTCCCTTAAATACTATGTACACGAGAATGAGGATATGTACTTTGAGGCTGCTCAATTATTGACCCGACGGATTTGGTCAGTATAGGTAGTTTGTTCCAGTTTAGGAACCCAAAGAATTGAACATGACTTACTCGTACTACCCATATCCAACATGCGCTTCTTTTCTCGACCTTCACTCAAACAGACCACTAGGTGTGATTGCGACGTAAGGCAGCGATAGATAAGGTTGGTAACTGCTTCATTGCATGCGCGTTGAAGTTAGTCATTAAAGCGCCTAAGCACAACAATGATTATTATGAGGGCGTACTATTCAATTGCTCCCCGCTAATGCATAACGCATCCATCCGCATAAGCATATCCTATATACAGAGTGTCCCAAAAAGATGTGCACACTGTTTGATCGTTAATAGCTCTCTTGCTTTTATGTCTTTTACCAAGCTTGATGTACCATTCTGTAGAGCGAGGTTCAACTTAGATTAGCAGTATGGAGCGAACCACCAGTCGCTCTTCGTTACTGTAGGATTACGGTATGAACTTCCAGCATACAGCATTACTGCGAAATAGTCCTCTTAATGAAATAATTTCAAAAAAATCTGAAAATTTGTGTAGCAAGGTCTTCAGGCGTGCTGACTTCATTACATGACTTTTTATCAGTTTTTCGAGCTTTCTTGATGGCGTATTCACATTTTTGACGAGCATTGGAAAGACAGTTATCAGCCTTATTTTGAAATAACTTATGAAAGAAGCACTATACTGAGGCGCAAATTTCATATTTGGAATCAGCGACTTCGAGCTCACTTCAAGAGTTTCTGGCTTGCTTGGGTTTCTTTCTGACGCAAAATACCGGCAAAATACCGATTTTGATAGCTTACAATCATCCTCGAAGTTCCAATAGGGATTTTACTGTAATGAAGAGCAATCGATGATTTGCTCCACAACGCAAATCTAATTTGAACCTCGTTCTACAGAATGGTACTTTGAGCTCGGCAAAAGACATGAAGGAGAGTTATTAACGATCAAACAGTGTGCACATCTTTTTGGGACACCCTGTATGATATCCAACAATACACTACCCACTTCCACTGAGATGCTTGGCTGATTTCCTGCTGACGATATCACAAGCTTTTTTTGTGTCCATTGCGCAAACTGGGTGAACAGCCTACTTCCCCAAAAATAAAGCTAATATAAGCTTTGCAGATATTAGCTTCAGAACGAAGCCTTTCGGTTTGTTGTCTAGCAAAAATCATCATGAATAAGACTGCCTTGAACTGAAGGTAGAGTTGACCTGAAACTAATAAATATCGCCTTCGATTTATCTAGAGCGCCTAAGTATCCATAGCAGTGATAGTCACGATCATCGCATACAGTATCCCAGAAATCAAAGCCCTGAAAAGTTTCTCGTTACGAATATTTATGGTTAATGTGAGATAAAATGTAAAATACAAGCTTAGAAGATAGAAAAGAGCAGATGTAGTAACGACATTACCGATATCGACTCTTCAAGACCCTCAATATGCATTCATATGGTTCATCCGAGTAGGCGGCGGCAGCTAGAGGGAACATTTTCTTCCTAGCGAAGTTGTAGTCAAATATAGCAGCATTGAGTGAAGCTGCAAGGCAAAGTATAACGACTAGTTTGAACCTGCAGAAACATTAAGCTCATCTTCTATGTAGCTCTACGTCTCTTACTTACATATTAATCGTTTTGTTCGCCAAAAGGCAACGGTATCACGGATACTAAGATCCAAGCCTGTTGCTGAAAAAATGAGAAAATTAGACGGATTAGTGTCGTCTCTGCCATTCTGCAATTCGATATATTTCTCAGAAATGAAAA